AATGATTCCGAGGCAGAGTCCATACACACATAATAAATCTCTTTACCTGAACACAAAATAGAATAGAACCAACAAAATATTCAAATATATATTGTAAAAATCTTCCTAAATTGAAAGAATCTAGAAATATGTTGATTCCATGTTATGCTCCAGGAATATTTGATGCAGAACAACTAACTTACGACACATACTACTGTGGGGCGCCTGAGTGGCTAAGTCGGTTAAGCGTCCGACTTCAGCTCAGGTCATGATCTCGCAGTTCGTGGGTTTGAGCCCCACATCAGGCTCTGTGCTGACATCTCAGAGCCTGGAGCCTGTATTCGGATTCTATGTCTCCCTCTCTCGTTGCCCTTCCCCCATTCATGTTCTGTCTCTCTCTGCCTCAAAAAGAAATAAACTTAAAAAAAAAAAAAAGACACATACTGAGAATTTATTAAAATTAAAGAATAAAAAAAGAATTCAACACACATCGAACCCAGAAAAGCAAATGACCTACTAGTTAAAGGAAAACACACACACACATACACACACACACACACACAACCTGGCCTCTGAAATTTTATCTGCAATGTTCAATGCCAAGTGACAGTGTTATAATGTCTACAGACTTCCAAAGGTATTTTGTTTTGAAAAAATAAGTGTGGAATCCAAATTTTAAATCACCAGGCTGACATTTACCTACCTAAATAAAACAGAATGCTATACACAAATGAGCAAATCTCGCTGAATATGGAACTCATGGGTAAGTCTGCAAAAATCATTTGGTGATGAAGCTAGTCAGCAAAGAGATGAATGAGGAAAACAAACAAAAACCTCAAGAATGAAGAAGCTGTCATTGATGGTGGACAGTAAATCCATTTAAATATAGAATTAATGCACCTATAACAAAGTGAAAAGCAAAAAGTAAATATTAAGAAGATTAACATCTAAGCATGATGATAAACATTTTAGAAGTTTTTTTGTGAAGGAAAAAAGTTGGGTGGCTTGGCGAAATTAAGAGCATGAACATCTTTATCTGTTATAGGAAGAACTCATGATATAATTTCTGAAACTGATAAATTAGAAAAGGACCTAATTACCTTAGAAACTAATTATAGGTTTGCCATCCATTTCAATGATCACAAAAGCTATCCACCTAGATTAAGTTGAAGCAAAAAAGTGAATTAAAAAAGAACTTTGAGGAAACCAAAAATTGGAAGGGATCTCCAGAGCAACTAACATGACGGAGTAAAAAGGCACCGGACCTCCCCATCTCACCGACCAGGACCTCTGAGGGTTTCACTTAATCTGTCCTCTGTCTCTATACTTAATTTTCTCCACTCACATAGAGGAAAGTCTAAGATGTCCATAAAATGAACCATAGTTGCTTTAGTCCTGGGCCTTTCATCTTTTTCCATTCTAAAATTCTGAGCAAGTTTTCCAATTAACCTACTTAAGTCAGGTGTTCAATTTTGAACCAATCATGAGAAAAAACAGAGTTGAATAGAGAGACTGTGATTGGCCCAGCATTAAGCATTGAACTTAACAACTATGGCCTAGGAGCCCAGGCCGAGGTGAAGTTGGAGGGTGGCAGGAAACCGGGATATCCTTAAAGAAGAGGGTAATTTGATAGACAGTAATAGATTTAGGATATGTTTGCTTCAAATATAATCAGAACCACCACTGGAAGTTTTCACGATCTGCTGTAGTTATCAACATTACTTATCAGACAGTTCAAATTTCCCTGCTCTCCAGACTGTTTTTGTCCAGTTAGTTGAGGCAAAGTGTAAAGCCCTTCGGAACTTTCTTTCACTCTGGTACAAAAGTGGAAACATCCAGGCTGCCTCATCTGGTTGAGTCCCTAGGTGTTTATGCATAGCAAATTCTCCTGCCAAGTTGTGGTGGACATATGCTGTGAGAAATCTATGCTTATTGCTTTAAGCAACTGAGATTTGATGGCATTTTGTTACTACAGCATTACTTAGCCTACCTCGTTGATATTCCATTCTTCTATTTCCCACTGTGATTCTTCACTGTCCATTGGCTACTAACTATATCACAGCAGAACAATTCCACTCCAATGCACTTTGCTACTCTTTTTCCCGTGCTGCAGGTAAGGAGACACCTTCCACTTCTTTTGACCCTTTGTCAGAGGAGGCTCCGACACAGCTGTCAGGCTCCTGGTGAGAATATGGCTTCTTTATATTCCAGGCATCTTCTCCAAGACTATAGACACGGGCCTCTGGAACAGAGGAAGTTAGGGCAGATTTTCAAGCACTTCTGCCTCAACCACCATCCATTCCAAAAATTTTACCCTGATACTTAATTTGTTATATGCTCCTAGATTTATTCTTCACCTAAAATTTTTACTTGAGAGCCCAGTATGTCCCTTCCTCCCTTTGTATGTTTTCTTTAATTGATCTCTTTCTCCAAACCATCAGACCTCTTAGGTCTCTGAGTGATGCCATGTTATGAGGCAATACAATCTAATACAAGGAATATGACAGAGAAAACCTTCATTAGCTGAATGCAAAAGGACAAAAAAATTAAAAGGTTTACTGTTTATGGAAAGATAGTACTTTCTACCAACGAATGTACTAAAGCATAAAGGACGAATCGTTCTCAACCGGGGAATGGCTTTACCTCTTAAGAGGACATTTTGCAATATCAGGAGACATTCTGGTTGTCACAACTTGAAGGGGCATTACTACTGACATCTAGTAGGTAGCCCAGGCTAATGTCAAGATTTAATAAGCAATTTATGTCTCTAATTAGAAATTTGCTATACTAGACGCTGCCACATCACTCATCTTTAAACATAACATGCTATCTCCACTTGCAGCCAGCAATAAGTAAGACAAAGGAAATGATACAATATGAACAGCGAATAGTATTGTCACCATAGTCACCAAAACTCAAGTTCTATATTATAACTGTCACTTATTACCTGATTAAAAGAGTGAAAGATAGCCTTAAGAGAAGATATAAATTATTTCATCACTCTCTTAAGAAAGGCCCAAATCTTGCAAGCTTCACGATAGTGTATTCTCACAAAATTGGATAAGATATCTGAATCACAGTTTTTGTTTTATACAAAGTTACAATGAGGTAAAAAAAATAAATGTTGACCTCAATTTTAACACCCCTGAGGGCCTGGAAACAAGGACACAGAACAAGATCTCTTGTTCTCCTAAACAGAAGTTGAGCCAATAACATAGGGTACTTTATGAGCCAAATAATGTCTGGTGTCCTGGAGCTAAAGAAAATGTTGGCACATCTTGCAAAATCACAGCTGTTTCGGTCTCATTTAGTGACTGGTTCCACTCTCTGCAGCCCAGTTTGCCTTTTGAAATATAGCCCAGCTAGCTATTCTGCAGCATGTGATTAAAGACACTGACAAGGGAGGTTTTATTTTTTAGCTCTTTGTCTCAGAAGCTTTAGAAATCTTGACAAGTACTGCTAAGAAATACAGATTACCTTTTTTTTAGAAAGGAGATGCATAGAGATTTCTTAATGTGTACATAATCGTGCATGTTTTTATCAGTAAATTAAATGCACTTGGGAATTACGATGGTAAAAAGGTAAATTTCTAAGATGAAAAAAAATAGTTAAACTAAGTTAACCATATGCAATGCTGTTGTTAAGAAAAGATTTCTGTGACTTCATTCACTTACCATGTACAGTTTTAGGTTGCAAGCCAGTCTGCCAGCAACCCTTCTGAGTCAGACCTTTGAACTAGATAATCAACTGATAATCTTTAAAAAATTAAAAGAGTAAATGAAAATAGCTCAAAGTGCTAATCACATGGTACCCTTCAGTTCTTAAAGTATATAATTATGTTTTGCAAGATTGTTAAAATTTTCAAAAATTTAAAACCATGACTCTCAAGCAAACAGAATATGACTCTGTAGTCAAAAGTGTATAAAGGCAAAATTTTCAACAACAACAAAAAAGTAAAACTGCAATCCCTGTGCAAATATAAAATGAACATATGTCAAAGATTTTATTTAAGTCATTAATTAATGCATGGACCAGTAAGTTGGTAAAACCATTTCAAAGAGTATTTTGAAAACTAAGTATCTACAGACAATGTTAGGATAAGATTGCTGGACTAGTTATAAAACTGGTCAATGTCCAACAGGGTAATAAACTGCAAACCCATTAGGGTTGTCTTTTCCACCAGGCAGAAATTATTTGCATCTCTATGGGACAAAAATCTACAAGTTGACCTCTGCCCTACCACATTGTTAAATAGACCATTCAACACAAAAGCAAGCCCAGCTTTGCACTGAAAGAACACTCAAAAATCTCTTCTGGCTATTTCCAAGTGTTCCAACTTTTCTAACAAGTCAAGTTATCTTTCATGAATGAAAGTTCTTAATTCTTGATGATACTAGTTTTTAGAGGAAGGTCTTTATCATCTTTATTTGACCCATGTACAATTTCCATATCCTGTTTTCAGACTAGTGCTCTAAATGGGCCCTAACTTGTTCTGTGCTGAGATAAACATTAGAATGTCGTAAGACACTGTAGATAATCCACATCTGGGTTATTTTATTCATTAGATATAATGTAATGTATATTTAAAGATACAGTGGAATAAACAGACTATTATACAAGTTCAGAGATTATAAATACTTTGAGCATAGGCTGAAGATACTTTATATTTTGATAAATTCTCTAGTTGCCTAATAAACTTAATAAATAAGAGTGTTCTATGGAAAACCTTAACTCTAAGCCTCATCCCCAGCAAAGAAAAACAAAAATTAACCTCTTACAGTTTGTGATACCTGTTAACTAATTTGCATACCACCTAAAACAATGCTATACACACACCAAGAGAAAGCATATCACTAGTAACAATACCAAATATATGCATACACAAACACATTCCAATAAAACTCTTAATTGTTCAATTGTTTGTTTCATCATGGACAACGGTAGCAAACAGTCTTCTACCCTTAACTTCTGAAGAGTAGCCTCTGTACAAAAGAAAACTCATTTACAAAATAAAAAGCATACATCTTTAATTTCTAATATTTTTATTATAGGGTTTTGAGCTATGCATTTATTTTCATATTATCAGCTTGAAGAAAATAAGTCACATGACAACCAACTTTTGTATGTCTGCCAAGGATAATTGTTTTATTTTAAATTTATCAAGTTATAAATAAGCCACATAATATGCTTATGTGAACCAAACCACAGCATAATCTGAGTATATTTGAAATGTTCAGAGTACTCTCATTGTTTCAGTAAGAGAAAAGAGCATTACGTAGAATTAAAAGCCTGGCCTTGCAGCTATCCATTATTCAAAAATAATACAGCATGAATTATTCACTGATTATAACACAAAATACATTGTTATAAAGCAAAGGTGACTAAAATAAACATGTGTTCCTGGACCTTTCATTTAATAATAAGCATGTCAGAATAACTGATGAGAAATAAGGAAAGCTAGATCCTGGTAAGGAGAACTAAACTGCCCAAAAGCAGTGTAGCTTGAGACACAAAATTAAAGTTCATTTCTAAGGAGACTGGAATTCCCACCACCAATTTCACAAATTTAGGTAAAGAGGATATATTCCATAAAAAGCATATTAAAATGCAAACATGACACCTCAATAAGGCAAAGTCTAAGGCAACGTCACAAAGAGTTATTTCAAGTCAATGGCTCAAAATAAAACCTGGGTCACCAAACTTTTGTTAGGCCAATTTTTTAGTAATATACTGATTAATGAGAGAAAGAAGGACTAATACAGAAGGTAAAAGTGAAGATGCAGGAGAGCCAGAGTTTGCTGAGTGCATCGAATCAAGGAGGAACTCAGAGCTGTAAAGGGATAATTGAAGAGAAGAATGGTCTGAAGACCACTTCTCCAAGGGTCAGCTGAACAAATAAGGATGCTAAAAAATAGCACATGAATGTGAGCCTAGAAAAGTTATAATCAGATAATCAAATGACACCTCTCTCCTTGGCCTTACCAAGGCAACTACCTCTTATAGTTACCCTGTGTTGCTTTGACATTTTGCCCCTACACTTTTGGATAAATTAGAGTCTATAGGTATGTTAAAAAAAAATACTAGTCTTCATTGTAATGCCTTTAATAGTTCTAATTTATGGTGATATTAAGTTACCCTTGATTAGAACAAAGAAAATGCAGTGGTTTAGCAATAACATGAAGCACTGAGAAAACAGAAGATAGAATGTATTACATTCTTGTATTTTTAAACTTCCAGGGAAAAAAGAAGTCACTATATCAGCTTTTAAATAGTCTGAGGGGGTGGGGAGAAATGACTTATTCCAGATCTGAAAGCTCTATATGAACATCTATCATATGTGATGACATGGGTATCTTCCCAAAACCCAAAGGCCCAATACGTGAATACTATATGTCCATGTCCCTATGCCTAATTAAAATGATGGTAGAGGGAGCTTGGGGAAAATTATTTGAGCTTTAATATTTTCCAAATTCACTGTTTTAGTTCTAGTCATTGAGGAGAATTGAAAAGAGTCAGGTTTTAAATTATTTTGTTCATATCTCTCATATTAGAATAAGTCAAACAATATATTTAAACACATTCAATATCTGGTTCTATTGCCAATATCTGAGCAATATCAATTAAATCAGTCTAATTATAATTAGAACAAATTTGAAGAAATCCACTATTATTAATAAAATATACAAAAACTATAGTATATCCTCTGTAAAAATGACAAAATTTTTCAAAAGAGCATCCATTTAAAAAGGCACTCTATAATTATAGTTTCAAATAGGTAACATACCTTAAAATTATTTAATTTCTAAACCACTAGACATAAATTGGACTCAAATTGGGAAAGCAAAACTATCTACTATACAAATTGCAGATTTGGATGGTTTCTTTTCTGAAAACAAAATTAATTTATCTTAAAAAATGGAAAATGTGATTTCTATACTGAAAACAAAATAAATGTATTTAAAAAATAGAAAATGCTCAGAATCACAGAGATGGCTGATCAATTATAGAGAAAATTAAAGGGAATATATACTGGTGCTTTTGCAAATAACCCACCGTTTCTGTGTAGAATTATTGTATGCCCTGATGTTTTTGTAGATCACAGCCTCAGTTTCCCTAGGCACAATTTTCTCTGCGGTCATATTGGGACTGCTGTGTTTTAACAATCAGCAACTGAAGACTATTAAGAATCATTCCCATCAGTAGTCAGTCAGACCAGTCAGTATGGCATAAAATATGCTTTGTTAAAGGAGCCCACACCTTTGGTTTATGCCGTTCTGCTAAGTGGCATGATAAAGCTAGCTGGAATAATAATTGCAACCATTCTGTAACCGGATGTTGAGACTCCTATGATATGATGTTAGAAAAAAATATAAACAAATATTTTTTGAGCGGTATGTTTCTCAAAAGGCTTTAAGTCTGCTTATAGCATTGAGATCCATGCTATATATTTGCTTAAGTTCATTTATTTTATGTATTCATGTACACTGCCCCATTCCTAAAAAGACTTGAAGTTTGTGTACTTGATTTTTTTAAAAAACACAAAACAAAATGCATAAATATATCTAGTATTCTAGCCAGAAGATGCTTTTGTTATTCATTCATAGGTAATACTTTGGCCCCATGTGCGTTGATGTAGGTGAGAAGGATTTTGGCTCTCTGTTCTATTACATCAATAAGCTTTTCAATTCCTTGTCTACCTCCTTGACTTTCCCAATAAACTTTATCAAGAAACAGGGACTGAAGGAGTTTCTGCCGCAAGTGCTGGCTCTTCAAAACAGAAACTGCAGATTCGGGAAACCTGAGAAGATAAAATGATATTTCACTCTTAGTAATTGCTTAGAAATATTATGCCTTACCCAATTGCTTTGCCCTTCATTAATCTGGCATAAATCACAGTATCATATAGTACCCGGAGAATGAAAACATTCTTGTCACTGTCAAGCTGACACACTTCTCTTAATAATAATATACTAGAAGAATATGTTTCAGGGAACTGAATTTTCTATGCTGAATTTTCCATTGAGAACTTGACACACTAATGTCTTACTTGAGGTCATTATCTGTAGGCAAAGAGAGGCACAGAATTAAAAAGAGTTCTGTTATCCTGGCAAAAGCACTTTCTTTGATCTTAAACTCCATTTTACCCACGGAAACCTCTTCAATCTGTCAAGTAGAATGGTATCCTCATAAGTGTCAATGTGGGGTTTTATGCAAGAAAATATAAGAAGCAAAATGCTGACAAATGCATGCCTGAATTTAGTGTGAAATAATCCAGAAAAAGAAAAAAAGGAAGGAAAAAGAGGGAAAAAAAAATCATTCCATAATGCCCAATTAAATAAAGAATGGCTTCTGATTCAGATTATACTTCAGGAATTCTGAGAATCTAGGAGCATGTCACTAAACTAGAATACTAAATTGTTTTCAAGTGAATTGAGCAAAACTCAAGTTTTAGAGGCAGGGCATTCATCCCACCATGAACCATCCCTGGAAAACCTGAAGCCAATCTGGAATGGTCTTTGCTGAACTACGTTAAGAGGGTGTAATGTGTCAAAACAGGGCCTAGCACATACATTATTTGAAGAACTTTGTCAAGTTTCTGGTTCAAAATCTTAAGGAACTTTTGACTGAATCTCGCATTGGCCCCATCCAGCTTTCATTCAAATATCGATGAAAGCACAATAAATATATGGGGTTTATTAGTAATTTTCAAGTAAACTTAGTTGCTTCTTAAAGACAAAAACAAGAATATATTCTTGTCTGAGGAGTACGAATAGCCTGAAGATTCAGGCCTCCAAAACACCTTTTCCAAATTTCAATGGAGTGAGCTAGGGGTGGCATTCAAGGAGCATGAATGCTGCAGAAGGACCAAAGGCCACACACCTGGACATGCTTACTGAGTCTGAGTAAGAACGGAATTAAATAATGCTGATAAGATGCTCTGAGCTCCCTGAAGACATGTACGATATAATTTAGTGGCCATAGTATTAATTAAGTAAGCATTTTTCCTCTATGAAATATTAATAATCCATGATTTATAAATTCTATGACCCTTCAACTAATTTAGCTATAGCAGGATGTATGAGATGAAATTGTTAAAACCATGGATCTCTTTAGTGACTAATCCTTTTCATAAAGGAAAATCAAAAAATTACCTGTCTGTGCATTATATTGATTAATAGGAATAGTCTACACATAAATCTGGGCTAGAAAAGTCCGCATTGCTTTTCAAAGTGTGACTTACCTATTCAAGGAAAATTTAACTTTAAACTCATTACTCCTCATATTTCATTTAATGTTAAATCTTCTTTGAAAGCATTAATAAAACAGTATTCACATTAATATGAATGTATAGAATGGATGGACCATATTCTCAGGCACTTCTAATTCCAAAAGAAAATTTAGAGATTTAAGAAGATTCCATGATATCAACTCAGTAAGTGCTGCATTTGGTAAATTTTTCTACATATAAAATTTCCTTAGTTTAACACTTTAAAGAAAGAATCTGTTATATATTCTACCTAAACTCCACAAAAAGATGGAAGAACAAGTATTAACAGGGCAAGACATGGCAAAATCTCATGAACTTGGGGCTCATGAAACTCTCATAGGAACAGTAACATCTTTAGTCTTGTAAGTACATAAAATCCAAATTACCTGATTTGGAGTGCTAGGAAGAACTAACGAAATAGACCTAAATGTTATTAACAAGAGTAACAGTAACAGCATGAATTATACAAGTTACTGCATGTAAATGATTGAACTTGGATTTGGAAGACTGAAGTTCTACCCTCAATTTTAGATGCATTCATGTGCTCTCCATAAGTCACTTAGCTTCACAGACCTGGTTAAGTCTTTCACAAATGCAACCCCTTATTTTCAAGTCTCAAACATATCCATGTCTCAATCACTCTAATTTCTGACTAAGGTAGGAAGACTATGAAGAGTAGCTATGAGCTGGGGCCTGAAATCCAGCCTCAGTCCCAGCTAATGTTGAATAGCCTAGACTCAACAGGAGGGTTTCTGTTAGTTTCCTTTTTTCAAATAGATAAGCTCAAGATACTATTCCCTATAGTCTGTGTCTACTGGAAAGATTTCCAAATGCTCCAAAACACTCCCACCTGAATTAAACAGCCATTGTCCTTTAATACTGTGTCCTACTCAGCAGATGAGCTCTAACTTCCTACTGCATTCAGAAGTCTCTTGGGTTTATTATGCCCTTGGACATCCTGCCATGTCAATATCTGCATGTCTGTTAGTTCCCCTGCCCCAAGCCTTGATAATCAAGCTTCTTCCACATGTTCATCCATGCGCTGTCAGCTCCTATTACAGAGCTCCCTGCATGCCTCCACCCTTACCCACATGGATTTTCACAGCAAGGGCCAAGCAATGCAATAGATATGAAATGTAGCAAAAGTTTTCTAGGTTGCATGGATTGGTGATAGTGACATCATGGCTGGGATCTTGTCCTTTTTTGATTAGGTCTGTTTCCCATTACTGGGTCTCCATTCCCAGATTCCAGATCTACAATTCCATTCAAGGGTTAATCAGCCAGATATAGGATTTAAGTTTTTTCAAAACCTTACTACTTATTTCATACACATGTGATGTCCTCCAGATGTTACAATAGCATAAAACTTACTCTTTGATGCCTTCTAATAGTTTGAAGTTTAAGTTATCTTCACTTCTGTCAAAGAAACCCTTGTTGTCTATAAAAACCAAATGCCTTGGGTCATGCTTTCTCTGGATAATGTGTGCTAGAGCCACAGAATCTTGGTTGTCACATTTTGGCCTCAGTCCATTCTGTACACAGGCATCTTCCTTTCGAGGTCTGAATCCACAGCAATTTATATCTAAGCGATTATAAATCTGAAAATGGAAAACGAAAACAAAATCCAAGATGCTGAGTAAAAACAAAACTTTGAAAAGCTTGATTTCCCAAGAAGTAGTGCTTTCTAAATTGCTGCCTTGCCAGAATCTAATAAGGTCAGGCTCATTTAATTAAAGGCAACTGTCAGAATAAGTCCAAGGTTCATATCCTTCTGACTCAGCCATGGTTAAAAGCATTTCCAGCTTCTAACAGCTCCAAAGTCAGATTATCCAAGTTAGACATCTCCACCCTTAGTATTAAAACTTCCCACTGACATCATATATAGGCACATGGCCAGAAGAATCTCTGACTCCATTCATGAGAGAAGATAGAAACCACTGCACTTTTACAGAGCTAAGGGCTATATCTTGTTTTCTTCCTTGGGTTGGTTATAGAAAACCTGAGTTATCTCAGTAGCTCTAAAAGTTTACTGTATCTCTTAGCCTCTCTGGACTTTCATATTATACTATCTAACCTGAAATAACATAGAACAAATCTTTTGAAAAGACATGACATTCAATAATGATAACAAAAAAAAACCAACATTACCTGCATGGAACCCACAGCTAGATTCTAAATAAGCAAGCAGAATGAACAAAACTATTGGGCCTAGTGGGGTTTACTATAGGGAAAGGCTTCTACCCTGTAGAAGACATAAATAGATTAATTATAAAGGGAGAATTGTGCTATTTTCATTTCTTTTGGGCATGAAAGAAATAATATTTATTAATCAGGGTAAATTAAAGCCTCAGCTTAGGTGCCTGTGGGTGGCTCAGTCAGTTAAGCATCTAACTCTTCATCTTGGCTCAGGTCTTGATCTCACAGGTCGTGAATTTGAGCCCCACACTGGGCTCTGTGCTGGGAGTGAAGTCTACTTTTTTAAAAAAAAGCCTCAGCTTAGGAATTAAATAAATTCCAAGTCAAATCTCTGTTCTCACACTTAGCTATGCAATCCTGTGTGGATTTCTTTGCATCACTGACTCAATTTAATTACCTATATAATGGGAATGAAACTATTGTACTATACCTTTTACAGTTAGGAAGATTAATTAAAATGTTTATACACTCTCCAGACCTGACCCAGGCATCTAGAAGATACTCAAAACAATGAAAACATTTATAATTGTTAAGACATACGCATACCCACTGTATGACATGATTTACCTCAAAACAAGCTTCCAAGAGAAAAGGCAATTTCTCCATGCTAATGAAGAGAAACTGAGCTCAGAGCTGTCACTTTTATTCCTTTGGCACTAAATTCCTATCCTTTCTCTTCCCTTGTGTTTTTACAGGTCCTGTGCGGCTGGCCACTCTAGGAGCCCAATAGCTCAGGAAGGAATGCAGAAAGAGTAATACCAAATGTAGCCTACTTTGAAATGATCATCATTCATTCATTCATTCATCCAACGAATGTTTATTGCACATCTTCTACCACTTATCAGTGGGGTGAGCACCAAGGAAAAGAGTTGCCCATGATCATCAGTACCATGGCATCACCACTATTCCCAGAGAAAAAGGAAGTGGCTATTGAATTGTGCCTCATTACCACAGCAAACTTTAAGAACTGGACAAATGATTTTCCTCTCTGTTTTCTGCATAGAAGTGGACTTTGTACCAAAGAGCATATTTTGAGAAACAAGGATTATAAAAGAAGTCAGCCTATGCCAATTTTCTATGACATTTATGTAAAACCAGTCACATGGGACAGGGGTGGTCAGTGAGCCAAGAGGCATTTGGATAGCTCAGAGGATACACTGCTGATCTACAAACAATCTACAGATAAAGGGAGGCCTCTGTCAGGATAGGTTCCAGGAATCTGGTCCATGGAGCTATAAGTCTAAGCAATGATTTCTCCAAAAGGTCACATAGGCTGATTGCAGAGAACAGTAAGTTCCCACTTCTGGTTAAAGTGTATTTGTCTGACATGAGGATGGGGTTACCCAAAGGTGAGCCAGAGTGCCCTAATCACTATAGGTTAGATGAAAAAAAGTGCAAATCTTTATAGGTTAGATGAAGAAAAGTGCAAATCACTATAGGTGAGATGAAAAAAAGCACAGATTAGAAACTATTAGAAAGATTTATTGAGCCCTTTCTCTTCAAACAATTTGATTCATTTTGTGTAGTACCTTGACTGCCTTTGAATTTAAGAGAAACCAACTGACATAAAGAGATTGCATCTGATTGGCAATTATTTAAGCTAAGATCAGGGAGTTAGGGAGAACATGAAAAATAAGATTTCTAGGAGCTGCTTCTCATCCAACCCCCCCTTTTTATATACATTAACTAATAATTCTCCAAAACTCTCTATTCCATTGTCCCATCATCATATGTTTATTTCCAGTTACAACGGCACTATCTATGGGAAAAATAAATCTTATTTACTTTTGACTACAACATCAAGGTCTGTTGTGTTGGATAAATGGTTTAGAGCTTAAATTATAAGGACCAATCTATCAAACACTTCACAAAGGACGCCCTGAACCCAGAGATTTCTTCATTGTTGATTTCATACGATTGATGAAAGGACTAAGACCTATAGCTACATTTCTGTTGTTTCTACAACAAAGCCATGAGTATCAAATATATTAATGTTAAATGACAAGCACTTTAAAAGTTTAGACCCCAAATTTTGGTACTATAAATATTATACTTTTCTATTTTTAAACTACAAGAAAGCATTAAAAGTTAGAGGTGGAAAAGACCGATTTAGGTCATTTTTTTTATTGCTTTCCCAGCATGAGATTGTTTCTTACAGTGTATTTTTAAAGTGCTTTGTCTGATCTAATTTTGAATCACTCAGAAGTCTGTGATGATTTCACCATTTCCCTGACAGACTGTTGTGCCATTCAAGTCTAACAGACCTTATTATTAAAAATGGGTGTATGTGTTCAACTCAACTTTTCTTCCATAAAATGTTTACCCCTCCTTTTATTCAGATCTACACGTGAAGGTGGTGGCTATGTTAACACATGTTGAGTGTGTGTGTGTACACCTACAGATATAGAATCAGTTTGTAAGGCCTAAATAATCTGGATTTCACTTCGTTTTTCTTATCCTCTAACTGTAGTAAATTATGTCTTTGTATTATTGCTCTTGTCTAGCAAGGGCTTAAGTAGCTCTTAAATCTTAGTCCCTAGATCTTCTCAGAATTTTGTTTATGGTCTTCCCTTTGAATTCACATTCAATGTACCAAAAATAATTTGACCACAAAACCATTATCCATCCCCTTAAATTCAGTGCCATGTTGCTTGGCATTGAATTTAGTTACATATTGAATATATTTCTTCTTACTTCCAAGAGAGTTTACCTATTTTAAAGCCTAATAAAGCATATCCTAGGTAGCCATGAATCCATAATATGGTGCTAATATACTTTTTTAGTGCACACATTAAAACAATCATTTCATTTAACTATCACTTAATTAAGTACTGTAGTTCACATCCACATGTCTGCATCCTTAGATAATTACCCTAACAAGGAAGGCTCACTGGGGGTAAATTGTATCAGGTAAGTGACTATGAGTATTGATCACCATCTCTGCAACTTGTTCAAATTCACATCCTCTCACCCTTTAAAACAAGGAGAGTCTTTAACAAAATTGAACTTCTGAATCGGAAGACTATTGAATAAAATTACTCTTTCCTCTTTTAGAAGAATATATCTTTTCAATGTTTACCTAACTAAAATTATACTCAGAAAAATCCAGGTGTTCCAGCCAAATTTTTTTTGTTGGTCGTGGCAATATTTTTAGGCATGCTGCCTTCCCCTAAAGTTTCTTTTTTTAATTCCATTTTCCTTTTGGCAGTGTTACTTTTGCCTGCATGAAAAAGTATCTCATGAGTGACTCAGTTATGTTTACAGAGACTAAACAAGGATGCCTCTGCTGCACTGACTAGCTCTCCAAAGCCCCTTAGGAATTTACAGAAATCAAATGACTTTCCACCCTTTTGCACACCACTCATTCTAGCTGTGCCTTCAAAATGTGGGTCTATCAGGGCACCTCAGTGGTCAGTTGGTTAAGTATCTGACTTCAGCTCAGGTCATGATCTCGCAGTTTGTGAGTTCAAGCCCCACATCAGGTTCCGTGCTGATAGCTTGGAGCCTGGAACCTGCTTCAGATTCTGTGTCTCCCTCTCTCAGCCCCTTCCTCCATCTCTCTTTCTCTCTCAAAAATAAATAAATATTAAAAATTTAAGAAAAAATGCGAGTCTATCAAAGCAATTGAGGTACCTCCTTCACATTTTCTTTTCCCTCAAAATAATGGGATTAAATAACTAATTTCAGGCAATGCCTAAACAAAAGCAAGAAAAATATCCTAAAAGTGCAGCTAATATTAATGAAAAACATAACAGCGGTCATTTACTGATTGTTTACTTTGTGTCAGGAACTGTGTGCTTAATGCTTTACATGTGTCGCTTCATTTAATCCTCATAGCAACCTGAAGAGATGGCTGTTACCAACAGTCCTATCTGATAAGCAAAGACAGAGAGGCACAGGAGGCTGGTTGACTGACCCAAGGTCCCTTCGTTCATAAATGACAGAACTCAGGATTCTAACCCAGATGTCTATGATCTCAAAGTCCATGCTCTTACCCATCCTGGTTGTATCTCTCACATGTAGCCAGGGTGGCACTGCAAAAAAGCCAAGTGCATTTGTATAGAATATTAAATGTTACTGCATTCAGCAAATGCTGTTATAAGGTTTCAGCAGAAATACGAAGAATCGCAGTGTAGGAATTTAGGTAAAAATGCATGAAGGAGAGGATATTTTAGTTGTGTTTTGAAAGACAGGAAGTATTAGTTAAAACAATAAGAAAAGGTGTGAAGGTAGGAAGTCAAAAGACACCTTTAGAAAAACTAAGAGCACATTAGACCAGAGTCTCTCAGACCATCTGTAGTAAAAGACAGTGGTTTTGTTTTTTCTTTCCCTCAGCCCCACAATTCGTGTGAGTTGTTAAATTTAGCAAAGTTTTTTTTTTGTTAAATAATAATAATAGGGG